TCTGAAGGCAAAAGGGTGTCCAACCCGTTACTAGCATGGGTTACCTAATAAAGTGGCCGGTGTGTGTATATTAAAAGCTAATCTATTTTAATACACATAATAACACATTGTTTTTGCCTATGCCAAAAATCGATGAAATTCAGCTTGGGCAAAAATATCTATAGAAACTCACTCACCAACCATCAGCATATTACTACCATTTTGCTCAGTACATCACAGGCAGATGATGTACTATGGCGAAGTCCAATTAGAGGCCATGGGGAATTGAGTCAGAGTACACACTGGAGACAATAATCTGAGTTTGTAACATTAATATTTAGATATTTTTAGATTTAGATATACAGCATGATATTGAAATACTGCGATGGACTGGTGACCTGTCCAGGGTGAACCCCGCCTCTCGCCTGTAGACAGCTGGAGATAGGCACCAGGATCCCTCATGACCCCGCTTGGGATAAGCATGACAAAAATGGATGGATGGATCTATTGAAATAGATGTTTCACATAAAAATGTTCTGAGATTGATTCAGGCCATTTGTAGCATTTGCCACTAATTGCGAGAATAAATGTACTAAATGGTCTAAATAGGGTGCAAAAAATAGGAGTGAGGTGACAAATTTTTTTTTTTTTATCTAAATTTCTACAAATCTTTCCTTATGGAGACCAGTTGTTGGTCCCTACAAGTACCTATGAGTCCCCAAAATGTAGCATATTCCAAGGAAATTGTCCCCACCGGGTATTAAAGACATGGCCACACGCACACACACAGAGCTAAACTGATATCTTAATAGATTAAAAAAACCAGCTGATGAATCTCAGAATATCAGCGTTAAAGAGGGATGGGAGGAACACTGTATTGTGAACCTAGGATGAACATTCTGTCAACGTAGAGCTGGCTTGCTTAGAGTGGAAAATGTTAGACCAGGGGTCAGTAGCTTTACAACCTCAATAATCAATTTAAGAGTTGGTCCATCTAAACTAAATCTGTTTAGGGATTCATAAGCAACGGGAAAATTTCAATCAAAATGGTTTAATATTTAGCCTTTTTTTTGCTGAACAAAAGTGGTATTTGCTTTGGCTCTATGCATTTTCTGCATGAGAAATCCAAATGTGATGCAAAAAATTGTGTCAAGCATGTAGATTGTAACCTACTGATAAAGAAAATTGCTGAGAAGTTTATCCTTCACTTGATCTGGATTCTCTAAGAAATCAGATATTGATGTTTGTCTTAGTTTACAGCTGATCTCTCACACACATCACCTCTGTGCCAGATGGAAATACTTCATAGCATTGAGGGCAGGAAAGATGATTAGAAGAAAAAAAAAAAAAGCTTTTTACCAAATTGGTACTGCCATGATTGCAGCATCTCTGAATAACTTTTCAATCCTTCCTCTTCCTGCACCTTACAGAGAGAACGTCCAGCGTCTGCAGCAGGATCTGGCCCAAATGATCCTGTCCTGCCTGGAGCGCCGAAAACAAGGATCCATACGGAGGAAGGGCCGTTCAGTCGAGGAGGAGGAGGATGAAGGCCGGGAATCAGAGGGGGATTCTGAAGGGGGCCATCCTGAATATCTTCAGCTGGCCACTGTGGATAACACCCTCAGCACCTTCCTGTAGCGCTGATGGCCTGGCAGCTTTGTAATATTGCACTAAACCAAAGCAAGAAATAAGCCTGAAGGAGAAACAACGATGGAGGACAAACATAATTTAGATACTCTGCTCTCTTTTTTCCTTTTAGTAAAATGTTTCATATTCCCTCCTAAAGGGGCTAAACTGCAGCTGAGCTTTTGCACATGGACCTCTGCTTGTATCTTCATGCAGCTTTAATAATCGTGAAAACAGCCTTTCTTCATCAAGCTGTTTGATCAAATGATTTAAGAAAACAATGAACTTAAGTCAAAGAAGTGTTTATTTTTATAGACAACAGTGACAATCAGTACATAATAAAAAAAAATATATATTAAAAAAAAAGAAGAAACCGATCCACCACATTATAACACAACATTACCTTAGAGTCATCAAAGCGCGGTACATTTCATGTGTCACATTGTTTCATACATAGAAAATAATTACTGCTCTGTGGACAGCAGAAGGAAAACAGGAGTCCAGCATTAGACAGAGATGCCTTCCAGCCATTTTAGCCCCATATGTCTGGGTTTTTGCTTTAGTTTTTGCACAGATATTGAAAGAGCAGCTGAAAGTGAACCCCCTGCAAACGGTGAAATACAGCAGAAACCACCAAATTGAAATGATACGACCATCTGTTCATGAAAAGTAAGAGAACATGCAAAATGTTTATACAACTTAAAGGTGCATCTCAATGAATTAGATCAGCAAAAAGATGTTTTAGTTTAGTTTTTTTTATTCAAAGGGAGAAACTCTTATTCTTCACTTCAACACAAAGTGATACATTTAAAACAGTCGTTGCTGTTAATTTGATTGATCATAGCCAATAGCTAGAAGAAAATACAGAAAATTAAGATATATAAATTAAACATTTTCAATAAAGAAATGTGGGCATACAAACAGCTTAAATATAATCTGTACAGTATTTGCATTTAGAACCTGGTCTGGTCTCTTCTTGGACAACTTTCTGCACCAAAGCAACGAGGTGTTAAAAGATCTGCTGTGGTTCTGTTAAAGCTTTGAAAAGACAAGCAGGCTTTAGTTTGTCTGGATTCCTGCCATACTTTTTCCTTCCACTCAACTTTCCATGGGTGAGCCTGGATAAGCACTAAAACAGCAACAATAGACCTTTTGTCACCCTCCCTATAAACGGTGTTTATATTCCACCTCATTGTCTGGGTTATCAACAGAACATTTCTATATTGTGACCCCTTTTCTGAGGAAATTACTAATGGTAAGCTTTAACTATCCATAGTTACCAATACAAATTATTGTAATAGATCACCGTGTGCAACAATTTAGAGTTTCACTTTTTGAACTGAACGTAATCAATTATGTTTTAAGCTGTTGATGTAATTCATTGAGATAAGCCATAATCCATAAAGGAGGAAAACATTCATGTAAACTTAAACTAATCAGAAAACCTGATGGTTATATTTCATACAGTAGAAAACAAGCAGAAAGGCCACACCCATCCACACAACAATAAATAAAACCAAACATACAAACTCAAACTGAACGGTTTCATGTACATATCTCATCAGAATCATGTAGAGAAGAACCCAATCCCAGCTTTCAGACTGTAAAAAGATTCAACTCTGAACATGTCGGGTCAGTCTTCAAGTCAAGGCACTGAATGATCCGACTGGACAAAACAAAGATGGCTGCATCTCTGTCAGTCATTACCTGTGATGCTAACTTTTAGGGCTGGAAAATTTAGGCCGTCATCGATATCTATTATTAACAGATACATTTTCCACCTTTTTTCATCAAAACCAGGCCTGATTGATACCAATGTGTTGTACAATGACTAAAATCCATAGTGACGTTAATGTAGATATATCGTAGATCTGTTATCAGCTACATGTTCTTAAAGTTTAAATCCTCTATTCTATTACTTAATACTGCAGCCCTGCTTCTAATTTCACACAGAATTAAACTACAAAACACACAAAGACATGATTTATGCCTAGATTGTCTCTAATTGTACTTTTATTTCCTGCACTGGTCAGTTGGTGCAGCGGAAGAAGCTCACACCTGATCTACTAACAGAAGTTACCGTCTACATCTGCAGCAGGAGTCTGGGGGGCACAGATAGTTACAGAGATCTAATCACAGAAATGGGCGTTTTATTTTAAAACATCCATCATTTCTTTGCTTCCAACAGGCCCTCCTGGAAGTAGAAGGTTTCCTTTGAGCTCAAGCTATTTTTCCCCCCATTAATTTTCATATGAAAATGAAAAAAGAAAAGACCAAAATAACCATGGTTATAGATATCCCTGTTAGAGAAGTGAGCCTAAAGGTGGGTTTATGCTTCAACGAGGAAATTAGATGCTGACCCAGTATTCTAGCTGACTCTAGGGGGCAGTGGGGCAAGTTTTAAACCTGTAGAAATCACAGCTTTTAGTTTTTAATGCTTCTTTGTGTCATCAAAGGGTGACATTCATTTACTTTCTAAGGGTTATTCATGTTGTATGGAAGAGGATTAGGGCCACTGGGATAAAAAAAAAGTAAACTGATTTTTTAAATTTTATTTCAGTATAGTAGAGTTCTGACCTTAATCTCAGAATCCTGACTCTATTCTCAGAATTCTGACTTTAATGTCAGAATTCTGACCTTAATGTCAGAATTCTGACCTTAATCTCAGAATTCTGACAATAAAAAAAGTCCGAATTCTGAGATTAAAGTCATAATTCTGAGAAAAAAGTCAACATTTTGAGAAAAAAGTCAGAATTCTGACTTTTTTCCCCCCATGTTAAACTGAAATAAAATGTAAAAATCAGTTAACTTTTTTTTTTTTCCTAGTGCCCCTAATCCTCTTCCGTATGTCCTGTTGAACGTGCTGATATATATGAGCCAAATCATAAGATGTCTGAAGGTGTCTGTATTTCTAAACCAGCAGGAGGTGGGTTCTTTGCACTAGTTTCTTCGTAGTTATAATTTTCCCTAGATGCATGCAGCACTGTGTGGAACCAGAATTAAACAAGCATGGTAATAAAAAAAGAAAATCTAAATTACGGGGCTTGGCTAACTGAAGCTGGCGAGGTTTGTGGTAGTCCTCCAGCCTAGAGATTCTGAGGATAAGAAAATGAATGCTCTGCTGTTCCACCAGTTCTGCTCGTTTTCTACTCTCTGATTATTACTTCTACTGCAGATGTTGAGGTGTCTTGGTGAGAATCCTGATTTTAAATTTGCTTTGAAGGGAATGTTTTCTTGTCTTTCCCACTTTTTTAAGAGTGGGCAAAACAAAAAAAATCTCTTCCGTGATCAGATTTATACTAAAGGAAATAGGATGTCACGGATTACTAAATTAGCATTGGCTGACGAGGGAGTTAACGATCCATCAGAAACCCCTAACGACCACCATTAACACCCTCCATGTGTCCTTTCTGGCTAATCCAGTGGGGGGAAACAAAGCTTTTGCCCCCCCATCCCCAACTCTTTCTTAGACCTACAGTATATTAATCTCAGTGCTTCCCACCACTAGTTAGAACTGAAGAAGCCTCTTGGAGGAGAGGTGAAACGTCTTCTAAAAAACTTCATGTCCAGTTGCCTAGACTGGAAATTTTCAAGCTTGACCATGACCTGGAGGACTGAGAATCTTCTGAAATAATTTGGCATTACTTAAATAAAAACAAACCTAATAATATCAGCTTTCTAGATATTTAGCATGAGGCTGAATCGTCCCACTATTACCCCCTGTGGTATGGCATCATTACAGTAGAATCACTTGGTTTAAGGCTCATGTTTTTAAATTAATTTTTGAATTGATACCTCTAGGCTGTGGGTTAAGTCTCCAGCAGAAAATTAAACCTGAGAAATTTCACCATCCTTCAGTTTTTTAAGCTACTCTTAGCTTTCATCTACCTGTCGATGCTCAGTTTCATGTGTTTATGTGTTATCTTATTTTCCTCCCTAGATTCAAGAAAACAAGCTGTCTTTAAACAATTGCTAACATCTCCAATAAAACAAAAATATACTTCTGATAATGATAAAAAAAAACAGGGACAAAAGTCTATGATGATCATATTTTTTCTTGGTTATGATAGCCTGATAAATTGGAAGCCAAAGAAATGAGACGATGCACCTTATCTGCACTCATACAGAGGAATCTGCTCCTCCTATCATCCCTTTAAGCTCCATTAAATCCTATTGACTCAGCAGCAGCTGCAGCCTCTGGAGGTGCAGCAGCACCAGGAAGCTCTGGTGCAAATTTAAGACTTAAGACCAAACTGTGCCTCTCCTACAGCAGTAACCTCCTCATCCCTTCTTGTTGAACATATCTCTAAACAAATACATCTAGGAAAAAAGGCCAAGAATGTCTTTATTTTAACCCATTTTCTGTATTTACAAAAAAATAGATTTTTTTAAATAATTCAATTGCCAATAACTCACACCTGATGGACACACCTATGCCACCAGTATCACAGCAGATCCATATATATATACCATGTTCCCCACTGAGAACAGAGGAAGACCATTGGCCTGATAGCTCCTCACTCTTCTAGCGCCTAAGTGATTATATCGTCATAATTAAAAGGACGGATGTTGGAGGGCGGTGCAGCTTTTCAAACGCAAATACATATTTTTTTTGTGAACAAATGAGCAATTGTGGAGGCGATTAAGAACGGAGCCTGTGACTCAGCAGCTGAAAGTCCATTTTATATTCTTGATATCTTCTTGCTATCTTAAGGTAATTATTATCAGATTTTAACAGCAAATAGGAGCCGAATAGAAATGAAAAGCAGGTGTACTCTGTTCTATTGTGATCGTACATGATGCAGCATGAACAGACGCCACTGAAGGAAAAGTCATGGGCCAGATGCTGCACCACCATTCCCACTGTCACTCACTCCGCAGTGAACACTCTGAAGGTCCGTCACCTCAGGGCTTCTGCCCCTTGCTTCAGCCAGCTGTGATTTGACTCTTTGGTTATAATTTACTAAGATCCATTACTGCCCTTCAGCTATCTACATACAATTAAACCGGAAAATGTTTTCGAAGCATTTTGCTACAGCTGACCTTATTTCTCATCGTTTGCTGATGCCCTCAGGCACCCGTTTAAAATAAAATCAGAGTTTTACAGACGGACCGCTGATGGAAACCCACGGCCTCCCGTCGTTTTACATGCGGGACCCGTGGATCTGGAAAAGCTGTGAAGCAGAACAAAAATAAAAATCAGGAGCTGTTATGATCAGCAGGGTAAAACTCTAACAGGACAGAATAATTTCATCCGGTCTGAGCTGCGGTGTGGCTGCAGTGACTGAGATGATGATGAGGATGAATGTAGTGAATGCATGACAGTAAATAACTGAACTATCAACTCAGAGACCATAACAAACTCAGTTTTTTCCCCCATTTATGTTGTGTGTGTAGTTCTGTGAAGGTGTGCAGATTTAACTCTGGTCTTGGCACGGTGTGTTTACTGACTGAGATCTAATACAGCGACTGTGGAGAAACGAGGGGGAGGCGTCACGTAACAGCATCACTTTACAACAGACCTTTTTGACAGACACTTTTTATTATCATTTTAAATGCAAACTGTACACCAGTTAACGATTCATCGATTACTAAATTAGTTAAGGATTATTTTAGTAATTGATAATTGTGATTAATCCGATTAATTGTTTCCGCCCTAGTAGGATCCGTCTGTTCATAGCGGCACTTGATTTGGGACTCTAGTGAAAATACAGTCATTCCTGTTGCTGGTGCAAAGTTTTCTTTCCAATCAATTTTCTATGAATGTGCTTTGATACGGCGCTCTGAACAACCAGCTTCTTCAAAAATGTCCTTTTTCATTTCCTGTAACTTGTTGAGGGTGTCAGTAAGACATCTGTCCAGCCAGAAGTTCCACATAATTTTATTTCCTACTAACCCAGACTTTGAGAACGACTAGACTCAAGAAAACCTTTGCAGGTGTTTGGAATGAATTTTCACAATTAGATCAAATCAAGGTTTGAACTTTCTGAGTGTTAAATCTAAAACGAATTTCACTTTCTGAAAAAACACTAAAAACAATAAACTCTTTGGTTATATCCTTATTTTTGGTGCAGAATGTTTTGTAAGTGAGCAGTAAAACATCCCCATCTCTGTTATAGTGGACTTATTTAAACTGCTTTTACCCAATTATCAGTTTTTTGGTACCTTGATCGTTTCAATAAGCTAAGCTCAAACTAAGCCTAACCCTAAGCGCTGTGGTATGACACCCCCACCATGTTTCTGCAGACATAGAAACATATAAACACACAATAATCTGTAGCCACTGACATCCTCTGCATGGTTTCTCACCCATTCCTGCCTCTCTTTGGAACAAAGAAACATGACTCCCTCATTCTCTAAGCCACTCATTCGGTGTGGTTTCTCTCCCTCCCTCTTCTTCCTCCTCTTCCTCCTTCGCCGCCTCCTCCTCCGGCTTCTCTGGTGGCTTCATTCGGCACGAGGGAAGGAAGAGAAAACACAAAGGAGAGAAAGAAAAGGAAAAAAAAAAAAAGCAAGACAAAAATAAAAAATAAAAATGAAAAACGTAAAACGCTGATGAGTGTCAGAAAGGAGTCGAGTTGAATGTCTAAGGATAAGTGCAGAAAATGTAGATCAATTCCAAAAAAATTTAAAACAATCCACTGGACTTTTCTTTCCAAGTTTGAAGACGTGTCGCTTCCCATCCAGGAAGCTTTTTCAATTTAAAATGTCAGAAATAGTGTTGAGTTCGAGGTTATATACAGTAGCCCAACAAAGCCCTGTTTTTGTTTTGAAAGCAGGCAAATTGGAACAGATCGACGCTTTTCCTGACATTTTGAATTGAAAAAGCTTCCTGGATGGGAAGCAAAACATCTTAAAACTTGGAAAAGTCCAGTGGATTGTTTTTAATTTTTTTGGAATGACTATGACCTGGATGACTGAGAACCTTAACCAGCATGTATATCAATATATCTGAGAGAGAGAAAGAGCTGATGGAGAGGAAGATGGTGGGTGGGAGCAGGACGGAGAAGCAGAGCAGTTAAAATGTGTGTGAATGACATTTTGAGACGAGTGACATTTGGATCATTTGATGCATGGCACAACTCCAGCTGGAGGAGGGCTCCCCTCTTCTCTCTTACAACATAAACGTGCCTGGATGAGCCAAGGACACGGACCACAGCATAACAGCAAACCTTCAACATTCTGTCACCTTGGTTTTGTGGCTCTGCTCCGTTCCTAGGCCCGACCCAGGCGTGTGAAGTTCCTTCGATACGACACACAGGAACTCGGCCTGGTCCTCTGTCCCGTAGCTGTACGAGGAGCCGATGTTCACCATCTAGAGGAGGAGCGAGGTACACAGAGGACAGACACAGAGAAAGCGTGGTTGTCAGGGGCGGGTCGATAATTGGGTGGCACAGAAAACACGGGCAGATAAAGGATCAGTTTGAAAAAGCAAGACGTGGTGTTGGCTCTCATGCGGGGTTGAGTTTAGGGAGGCAGGGAATCTAAATGAAAGCAGTGGAGGCACTTTAGTCCAGGCAGGGTTCTGGAAGCAGCAACGCAGCATGCAGTGTAGCAGGGAGGAAAAGCTGCAGGAGAGGGAGCGATTTAGACCTACAGCTCTTTATGTAAGGAGCAGAAACCAGAAGATCTTGACCTCTTTGTATATCTCTTTTATGAACTCAGAAAGCCTCAGTACACAGTCTAGTTCTCGTCAGAATGTAGAAATTCTCCACAGTAATTTTCAATAATCTGTCTACTTGTCTTGCTCTGGACACCAGAGAGAAGCTCAACTGTATCTAGAAAGATGCTTATGAATCAGAATTTCTTTTATAAAATCTGAAATCTACCTTATTAGCCCTTTCTGGTAGAAATAAGTATGTCCAGAACCTTGTGAAAGTATTCATACCCTTAAAGCTCGAAGAGTGTTTATTGGTGCTGATGTGAAACACCAAGACAGAGGAGGGGATAATTGTCCCGTCGAAGCAAACTTTTGCATGTTTTTCTTATTAGTTTTACAAATTAACACCTAATTCTAACTACAGCTGTTCTGTTTCGTGCCTGAGAGGTTCTTTAAAGAACATGAAAAAACTACGAAGGAGTGCAGAGAGCAGGGCTAAGGTCAGGGGATCAGACCGGGGTCAAAACTAAAGGGTCAGCAGCTGCGTGAGTCCAACCCACAGTCCAGAGCAGTCCGGTGCGGGGCTTTCTGCAGGTGCGCACGCTGACCTGCTCAAACTTCCAGCCGTCCGACATGGTGGAGACCATCTGGGTCAGCTCCTCCTCCTGGCACTGCAGCACTCTGTAGACATGCTTGGGTGGTACCTGCTGGGGGACGGAGAGAGAGAGAGAGAGAGAGGTGAGGCCACTGATAAAGAACTAAGAAAATAAGGAAAACCTGACAGACTAGTTATTTTACATCTATCGCTGAATGAAACTCATGCATGACGTCTTTCATAGCTCAGAAGCTCGGAAACAGGCGATCGAGCTTCTTTGAACCTTTAGAAGCCGCCTTCATGGGCAGCTATCAAACACAGATAAAAAGTGACCAGAAGATGAAATCTTTCATTCTTGACATATTAGCTTGTTTATCCAGAGGCAGAGTGTAGCACTAAGTCACTTACGTGGCTTAATCACTACAGTGGGCGAACATTTTAGAGACGTTATGCAAGACCAAGCAAGAAAAGCAATGCCCAAATAAAAGACTTATGTCTGATGCTGTTGATAATAATCTGCTATATATTTAGGAACTCTGGATTCTTTATGTAATCTCTAATTTAAGATTTCACAGGTATCCGAAAATGTGATCTAGGTGGGCTGAGGAAATATGTGTCAACTCCAGAGTTTTCTGTTCATTAAATAAATAAATATTTATCTATATCAGATATTATTGTTGATATTATTAAAGATGTTACACAGCTTATGATCATAGCTACCCGTCCTTTCAATACTGTGAAAAAAATAACATATTTTTAGTCAGAAAAAAGCAGAGAAGTTTAAATCTTCCAAAATTGTGGAGTCTTTACCTGTGTGGCTTTTGAGTCCCTCTCTATGATCCTGTCCTTGATAAGTTTGATCAGTGGGGTGATGTTGTAAAACTCTGCCTCCTCAAGGACTCCTTCAAACCAGAAAAAAGAAAAACAGTCAGTTCTAGCAAAACAATGATGCACTGAGTCCCTGCAAATGCGAACAAGACACATTTTTCAGCTTTCTGGCATTAATACATCCCTATAATGTACATTTCTTTAAATCTTAGCATGTTTGCATAAAATAACAAAATCTTACACATTTCCCCTGAAACATAATCACATATTTCAAACCTCTAACTGAATATTGTTTGAAATCTTTTTCTATTTGTTATAACTGTCATTTACTCTGCAGCGGGTCGTATATATCCCCTCGTAACTGTTGTTTCATCTCGTTAATATTAGAAATACAGCATTCAGGTCATTGTGTGAAAAACAGGAGCTTCCTCATTTAGTTAATCTCTATTTTCTAACAATTTTATTATGTTGAACTGTTAAATATCTGTTAAAGCATCCGATGCACCTGCAGAGGTAAATCATGCAAATAAACCTGCTGAAATTACTGTGGTACAGTGTTATAATAACATTACTGCTGCACATTATCTGCACATGTGAGATGACTTCCTGTCTGTTTCTCCATCTCCACCAGAGTCTGTGAGCTTCAGCATCTCGGCCACTAAAAATATTCATCCAATCAGGGCATCGTGGGCAGTCGAAGTCTTGGTCCAACAGGACAAAAATACTGTTGACCTGCAGAATTTAGATCATAACGCTCTAAATAGAAGCCTAGTAGATGTTGCATTGAAGCAGTTCTTCTTCTCCCTGATATTGTGACCATTGATGAGGTTGCTCTATTACCAATCCCTGCGTGTTTCCAGTTCCCATTGATCATAGGTCGTCTGATAGACGTACAGATTGTTTATATTCTGGGTTCTTCTGTCGAGGATCCATTATGGGCATCTAAATGTTTTCATTAGACTAACTGCTCAAAGATACTTCTATATGCCATCTTTTTTAGGTCACTTTTGCACATCTCATTTCATTCTCTACAGCAGTGATTTTCAACCAATGTGTCGCGGCACACTAGTGCGCCGTGAGAGATCGCCAGGTGTACTGTGTGAAATTAGACTAGATTAGGGACCCATAAAGCACATTATTGGTTGCTGGATATGACTTTAAAGCAAGAGTTAACTTTGCTGACCTTCCTTTGGATGGTTTTTGGTTAACTGTTGCCAAGGAGTTCTCAATGCTGGCCAACAAAGCTATTTTGACATTGCTCCAGTTTTCAGCTACATATCTATGTGAGCTGAGCTCCTCAAGCTTCACAGCGATAAAAACAAAAAACAGAGAGAGACTAAGAACTGTTGAGGAAGAGCTTTGTTTGTCTTTCTACCATTCCTGCCTGTATATCCCTTTTGTGTTCATCGAAATAGGCCCAGGTTTTACACTAAGTGAGTATAAATACATTTAGAAACTATATTATTAACTATATCTATAATATGTACTGTGTTAGAGTGTCATTTTGTGTCATTTTGGTTGTTGGTGTGCCCAAGGATTTTGTAAATGTAAAAACTGTGCCACGGCTCAAAAAAGGTTGAAAATCACTGTTCTGCAGGACCGTTAAACGTAGCGCAGATAAAGGGCCAATCAGGTCGTTGTAGACATCTTGAAAATGAATATTAATCCTAATGAAACTATGATTTTATCCTTTGAGTATTAGTGTCCTTTTTAGCTGCTCTCATATTCAGGGGACATCAGAGCGAATCATTAGCTGGGAAAGTTTCCACACCAAATGGGACCAGGAATCAGAGCCAGGTTCCTGGTATCACAGGCAAAGACTTAAAACCCCCTTTCCTTATAGACTATATTGGATTAAGATTACACTTTTATTAATTTTATAACCATTTCAGCTCATGCAAAAAGGGTTTTATTTAAAGAAGTTGCACCCTAATAAACATCAGGTGGCAGTATGTACCCGTGAGCTAGTTTACCTCCCAACATAAACTACATGAAGAGGAACCTCAGCAGTATTATTCAGCACAACTCTGATTGGATGAAGCACCATTTGATCATGACCCAACCAATCAGCTACACTCTTGCTGAACAGCATAACTTAATCCAAACACAAACTAGATCAAATTAGCACTAATTGCAGTTAAAGTGGCCAGCACTTTATGCACAGCTAAAATGTTAAGGTGAGTTTTAAGGTTCTGCTTTGTTAACTTTACGTAAAATCATTTTGCGATGTTGTCCTAATGGCCTAAATCTGGCTGGGCTGGAACGAGCGACTGTGGTTGATATTGATGTGCAAATGAAGTTTTTTTGACGTCATGATTTTGCCTTGCTTGCTGAACAACAAAGAGGTAAATGAGGGGTAATTTGCAAACCTTAGTCCACATGTTTTTACAGGGTGAATGATAAGTTTCCAAGCACACAGGTCAAATATTTAACTCTGGCTCAGCATCAGGTTTGCACTGTGAATGCATCACCTCTTTACCGTTCACTACTTTTTATCTGCATCTGGGACCATCAAATAAAGAAGCCATTATCACTTGATTACTGAGTTGGAAACATTTTATCCCAGATGCTGATGAAGGTTCTCAGTCATCCAGGTCATAGTCATTCCATAAAAATTTTAAAAAATATCCACTGGACTTGGTTTTCAAGATTTGAAGACGTTTCGCCACCTCTCCAGGAAGCTTTCCAGGAACATTTGAATTGAGAAAGCTTCCTGGAGAGGTGGCGAAACGTCTTCAAATCTTGAAAACCAAGTCCAGTGGATATTTTTTGAATTTTCACGGAATTTTATCGCAGGGTTCAAATCCTTGTTCCGATGCCTAATAGCCATAAACTTCCATCGAGATACCTTCCTCTGCGAGCTCCTTGTTGTAAACCAGTTTGCCGTGCCGCAGGTAGTTCAGGATGGGACCAAAGTAGGTTGGGTCTCTGTCAATTACATAGGCTCCAGTCTCATCCTGAAACAGAGAGGAAGAAGAAAAACACTATTATTATACTGTTACAACCTGATATAAAATCACTGAAAAGACAAGAAGGAAGGAAGGAAAGAAAGAAGGAAGGAACGAGGGATGAATCCTGTTACCTTCCATTAGTAAACTAAAACAGGCTCTTTTAGATGCTTTTCTATTGATTGCACTTCTTTTAATGAGTAATTTATCAAAAAGATACATTACTTGTTTTATCTTCTTGATTGAACAACTTCCTCTGCAAAGTACACCAGTCTCTATTTTTAGACTCTAAAGTTCACCAGCTGGAAAATAACATCCTGCTTGGACAATTTATTTTTAAATATGTTGCAGCTACTGCAGTGGAAAAGGGAATCTTTTAGAACTATCTTAATTCTCATCATCCGTGCAGAAAACTTGTGTCAACTTCTTCATTCTGCATGTTTAAAACTTGCCTACAAATATAAAAGCAAGCAAAACATTCTTCTCCGCTCTATTAAAACCAGAGGGAGCTTCACGAGGACAGCGCTCTCTCTTCATCTGACGGAATCCTTCAGCAGCAAAGAAAATAAAAAAAGCTTTGCCCTTAAGCTGCTGCTTCTTTGAAAGCTGCTGCACAAAAGCAATCCTAACAGGCCTTTTTTAAGCTTGCTATTATCAGAGCATTGCACAACCTGAATGCAGCCTGACTGCATCCCTTATAAAGGACCTTGCTGGTCAAACACGGAGACCTTGATATTGACAGCATAATAAAATGGAGTTGTTGCTCTTTAACCCAATCACTGTTCATCTGATGACTGAAAATGGGGGGAAAGTTGATTTGACAATAAATAACCATAAAAACAAACATACAGGTTTAATTGCAGCATGGATCAACCTATGACCAATAAACCAAAGCAGATTTAAAAAACAGACTGGAGTAAACGATCCAAACATCATTAAGGTTTCAAATGATGGTTTGAAATCATCATGTCACCTGTTGTAAAGAAAAAAAAGTGTGTTTGAAACTAATAAGTTGATTGAATTGTTAAATTACAGCTGAAGATTTCGTTCTGCTTAGAATGACAGAGATATTGTTTCTGTGTGCCCTTTCTCCAGAGAGAATTAAACATTTATAGCAAAGAACTACTTCAATGAAGCAAAAAAAATAACTTTTTTCCTTTTAGGTTTGATATGCAAGCAGCTGACAAGAAGAGTATTAAAATATGTCATGAGCTGAATGATGAGTATGGAGTGTAAACAAGATGGACGCTTCAACCTAATTCTGAGTTTCGGCTCAGGGTCTCGGTCCATGTTTCCTCAATAACCGACCTCAGTTTTGATACCTGCTGTTGCAGAGAAGAAGTCAAGAGCGCGTTGTCAGAGTTGAGCGTGCAGAAGACCAGTTTTGAGCGAGGGTGTGCGCGACTTCACATGCACATTGTTCTACCTGGACGCTCACTTCGGTGGCATCAAAATTACGCAATAGATGTTAAGCAAAAGAACGCGAAATGCAAAGTTTGGCTAAAAAAACGTCGGGACTACCCGAAGTAACACATCCAACCTCCCCCACCTACAGCTCAACCATACTGTCGAGTTCAAAGATGTGCAAAAGGCTCCATTACCTTTGCACAAAAGATTTTTGAAAGAGAGGAAACATGTTTCTCCTGTTCAATGAGACATTGTTAAATTTTTGAACCTGAATGGGTACAAGAATTTAATATTTAACTGAAAGTAATATGTTATGCGATTTATTCAAAAACTAAATTATAAATAGATCAGCTGCGTTTCCTGCACATGCCTTTACTTCTGTGGAGGAGCCGGGTTATTTATCATGCTTTTAATGTTATCAAGGTAAAACTGCCCCATTTATAGTGATATTAATTTGAGGTCGTATCGCCCTGCACTAGTCTGTGATTATTTATACAGCAGAGCAGTGACCTATTGTCTAAAAGAGCAGAAACAACTTTCCTTTGAGTTAACAACTGGAAAAGACTGAGATAAACATTTTACTTGTGGTTAATAACTAATAACTCTGCCTGAATTAAAAACCAAGTTATTGACATTTACTGAGACATCTTGGATTTTAAAAGCCAGTACAAAACATCCAACCATAAAGGTTAGCCATAAATAACACCTGCTATTTGAACAACATGTCAGAAATAATCATTTAATTAACGGTCATTACTTGGTTTTTCCCTTGATTTGAATTAAGTATTAATTAACTATAAATTCCTGTTTTAGTTATCAATAGATTTAAATCTGCAGGTAAAATTGGACAGAAATAGTGGAGACAAAAAGTCGGCAGAAAGCTGTGTACCAAAAATTAAAGACAGTTAAACAGCATAGAATAGGCTGCAAAATAAACTAAACAAATAAAACAACGAAAGGAGAGAAACGGGAAAATGGGATGTGACATAAAGCGAGGAGGAAATGTGCAGAAACGCAGCATTTGCTGAAAAATCCCTGTGATCAGTGACTGAAAGGGGTGTGACTGACAAATAGGCTCCAACACACACACACACCATGCTAAATGAGAAGAGCTGCAGTGAAGAACAGAGCGACGCCTCGTCAACGTGACTGGACTCGTCAGTGAGGGGGTAAAAAACACTACGAGAAGAATTCAGAGGTTGATCGTTCTGCCTGGTCAGAGTCTGCATCTCTAACATAACCTGAAGGCTTCTACTTTTCTCCCTGATCGCCTCCTGCTTCCGTCTGTGCCGCATAAAAACCAAAACAGCCATAAGACAGAATGCTAATTAAATATGTTTGCATGGATGATGTTGGTCCGTTAGCTCCAATTATTGGGAGTAGAGCCGGAAAATTAGATTGGCAACATAATCGACATTTAAAAATTTTTTTATTTCTAACTCCTCGAGGTTCTTAGCTTTCCATTACACAGGAGTAGTTTTCTTACTCCAGCTCTTTAGGTCTAACATGTTTGACCACAGCAGAGGAGTAGCACTGAGGTGAAAGTGGGCAGTTTTATGTTTAAGAAGATAAATTCAGAGATCCTTGACCCAGCCAAAGATGCAAAGTCCAGTACCAATGGAAGATGTAACATTTCTGAATTAACTAACTCTGAGATAGAACACAAGCTCTTTGAAATGGCAGCAGGTCATGTTCAGTCATCCAGCCCTTACAGCTAAAAAAAATTTCATTCCACAATTTTTTTCCACTCATTGAAATGTCTTTAAATACACATTAACATGAAATCAACACACTGTAGTAAACAGATAAATGGAGGCAGAAGATGTCTTTCAGTCATCAATGCACACATTCAGCGACACACAGGAGCTCTTTCAAGCTGGACACCGTTTCATTCACAACACCTGTCCTATCAACCAGGAATGAGAATTAGAAATACTTTAATAATCCCAGGGGGAAATTATATAGTCCCTGCTCCAGTTTGTGTTTCCTTAGCCTGGAAAACGTTGAAGACGACTGCTATAAACTATATGTAGAGCAGAGACAACTAGTTTAGCGATTCTCTGTTAAATTTACAGTCAGACATACTGGATGTTCTTGGGTTGCAATCAGTCGCCTATTCCATCATCATGCAAACATAAAAATAAAATAAAAATCTTTTAAACACCTTTTGCAGTTTCTGTTTTGCTTTTTTACAGAAAAAGTGAAATCTCATTAGATGCTCTTTATATTTTGTTTTTTTTAAATTAAGGTGACCGTTCTAAGAAATACTATTTCAAATAAAATGTTCAGAATTGTAAAGCAAATCAATCAGAAATTTTTTTTTTATGGATTATATTGAACTAACTCCTAATTAGTTGCCACACAATGTAAATGGTCTGAATTTACAAAGTGCACTTCCAGTTATTCCGACCACTTAAAGCACTTTACACTCATTCATATGGAGCTACGCAGATGAGTTATCCATTTTTATCTCTCTCTTTGAACGCACACTCACTGTATAGATCAATATAACACTTGAAACATTTATAAGAACAATGAAACAAGAAACTTTAGAAGCAATCATTAGCAAAAGTCACATTAGCATACCCAAATGTCATTTTTTGCTCCTAAGAAACATAAAAAAAAGTTCTGTTATTAGCCGTTAGTGGATTCTTTGCCACAACTGGATATCACAATGTCCGTCGTGTTGTATCAGTAACCATTAGGGTTGTAAGAAAAAGGCATTTGGTCAAATATCGCTACTTTTCAAAACTCAAATTCTCCAATTTAATCCAGTTTGTTATAGTTGATGTAGCCTTTAAGAAGGTGCTGATAATCGCTTGTAGGGATAAACAATATATCGGCATTAGCATCGGTAATATTAATAATGGTTATTTATTTCTATTTTGATGCAGTTTGTTTATCAAGAGGTGCAGTTCGGTCATGTTCCCGACAGAGGTGATTAATCTGATTAACCCTATAATGCCAAATGTATCATATTTGATACATACGGTTTCTGAAATGTTTT